TCATATAATTCACCAATTGAAAATGTATAATAAGGCCGGATTCGGTGACTCAGCCTGTAATCCCAGCACTTTGGGAGGCCGAGGCAAGTGGATTACCTGAGCCCGAGGGTTCAAGACCAGTCTGGGCAACTTGGCGAGACTTCATCTCTACAATAAATAAAAAAAACTAGCCGGGTGTGGTAGCACACGCCTGTAGTTCTGGCTACTTGGAAGACTGGGGTGGAAGGATCGCCAGAGCCCAGCAGGTCGATGCCGGGGTGGCCGTGAATTTGCCACTGCACTCCAACCTGGGTGACAGAGTGAGACTCCAACTCAGAAAAGGAAAAGAAAATGCATAATAAATTGGTTTTAGTATATTCACAGAATTATATAACCATCACCACATCGATTTTAGAATATTTGTATTACTCTCAAAAGACACACCTTACCCAATAGTAATTACTGCCCATCTTTTTCCTCCCCCAAAGCCCTGTCCAGGCCTAAGCAATGACCAATCTCCTTTCTGTCTCTGTGGATTTACCACTTCTGGATATTTTATATAAATGGAATTATATAGAGTAATCCTTTGTCACTGGCTTATTTCACTTATTTTCAAGATTCATCCATGTTATAACATATGGCAGTGCATTTCTTTTTATTGCCAAGTAACATTTTGTTGTATGCATTTTGTTTATCCATTAATCAGTTGATGTTCACTGGGTTCTTTCAACCGTTGACTATTATGTATGCTTCTGCTGCTACAAATATTTGTGTACGAGTTTTTATGTGGACATTTATTTTCATTTCTACTAAGGATAGAATTGCTGGTTTATATGGTAACTCTGTGTTTAATTATTTAAGGAACTATCAGACAGTTTTCCAATGCAGCTTCACCATTTTACATACCTACCAGCAGTGTTTGAGGGCTCTAATTTCTCCATATTTTTTTAACTCAGTGTACTTGAGGATTTTTTATACTGTTAAAATATACATAACATAAAATATACCATTTAAACTATTTTAAGTGTACAGTTCTGTGGCATTTAGTACATTCATGTTATCGTGCAACCCTCAACATCATCCAGTCCTCACTTTAATCCTAGAAGTGAGGTAGATAATATTACCTACCTCACTTCTAGGATTAAATATATTAATATAATTAATGTACTCGGAATAGTACCTCTTTTAATGTTCCCAAACTGAACTTCCATATCCTTTAAACAGTAGCTCTTTATTACCTCCTACCTCCAGCTCCCGGCAACCACCATTCTACATTTTGTCTCTATAAATTTGACCAACTCAAATTTATACCTCATATGAGTGGAATCATATGGTATTTGTTGTTTTGTCACTTACTTGTTTTAGTTAGTATAATGTCCTCAAGAGAACCTGAGTTTTTTTAAAGGAAGTACTTGATGCATGTGAATGTATTGTCTTTGATCTTTTATCATTAATTTTATGCTCTCTATATATCATCTTGCTATGTCCTTTTTCAAAGCTTCTTTTGTAGTATACAATATTATTTGATTTTCTCCCTCTCTAGAGATTTTGAAATCAGCATCCTACTTTTAATTCCATTATTGTTCTCTTTTGTACTTCCTTTATGTCGTATGTGTGTGTGTGTGTATGTATGCACTATGTATGTGACATAAAAGAAACTACATTATAATGAGGAAATTCCCATTTTATTTGTATAACATAGTATTTCATATAAGATTATTATTACTAAATTGTTATCTTTACATTATGTAAAATTACAGTGTGTGGTTAAGAGCATAGGCTCTGAAATCATACTACCTGTTTAAATCACAGCTCTGCCACTACCTCGGTGAAGTTACCTAAGCTCTCTGTGTCTCATTTGTCTTATTTGTGACATCAGGATAATATTACCTATCTCACTTCTAGGATTAAATATATTAATATAATTAATGTACTCGGAATAGTACCTGGCACATAGTATGTGCTATAGAAGAGCTTCTTGCTGTTATTAGTAACATTCTTTTTGAGGAATTATTATTGACATTTGTATTTATTTTAGAAACTTTTTCTGTCAACTCTGGGTTTTTTGGTTTCTTTCTTAGTATTTTTATGAAAGCCTTGAGACTTTTTGAGGTCTTATTATGCTTAAAGGATATCTTTTATACCTGTTTGAATAATTACTTCAGCTATGATCTTTTGCTCACCATTGTATTTTCAGTCCCTAGTCATCATTTTGTTCATAATAGTTGCTCAATGAAAATCTGATGAATGAATGTATACATGGAGGTCAGAAGTCTAAAATGGTCTTAGGGGTTAAAATCAAGGTGTCAGCAAACTACGTTCTTTTCTAGAGACTCAAGGGGGAGTTCCTTGTCTTTTTCAGCTTCTAGAGGCTGCCGTTTTTCCTTGGCTTGTAGCTGCATCACTTCAGCCTTTGTTTGCTTCATTAAACCTTTTTCTGTTTCTCTTGCCTCCCACTTATAAGGCCCTTTTGTGATTACATTGAGCCCACCCAAATAAAATAAGATAATCAACCTGCCTCAGGAGCCTTAACTTAATCACACCTGTGAAGTCTTTTTGCCATGTAAATGACTATATTCACAAGTTTTGGAGAAAAACATGGACATCTTTGGGGGCCCATTAGTCTACCTACCACATATTTCTTCTTGTGTTTGGAATCACTGAATGGAGGGGCCATTGGACGATGTCTTATCCAATCTCTTTAATGTGTATATGAGGAAACTGAAAGACATCAGAGAAGTTGTTTGTCTGCCTCTAAGCTGTTTTTTTTTAAAGATTAGGAACAAATTGTTACTATTTTTCTATGTTTGACTATAGTTAGAACAATACCTTGAACATTTTAAGTGCCTAGTAAGTATTTGTTGCTGTGTAAAAGGTAGAAACCAAATATATTAGGTCTTTGACTTACTCATTTTAAGTTATCGCTAATGTAAGTCTTATAAAAAGCCACAAACTGAAAATACCATGAGAAGTAGATGTCTGTTTATTTTTTTGTTTTGTAATTAAAAGAAGGAAATCATTCCATTCAAAAAATCACTGCTTGTTTAAAGATTCCAGTTCTCTTTCATTTGTATCCTCTCTACTTCTATGCCTTTTCTATAAAAAATGGAGGGAAAGAAGGAAGAGAGGAAAAGAGGGATGAAGAAAGGAGAAGGGAGGGAAAAGAAGATGTAGTGGTGTTCCTGGATTACTTTTCTAGAGCAACTCCTTGGAATCCATATTTAGATTTGTTGATACTCCTACTATTGGCTATGTTCATAAGATAAGCCTATATTTCTGTGATGCATATAGTCAATGTTGTGTTTAATAATTAAGTTAATTTAAAATCAATATTTATTTTTTGAAAACCATTTTGTAACTTTAGGGAAATTGTTAGAAACTTAGGGTTACCTTTTGACTTAAGGTTTTCCTTCTTTTGCTAAAGATGGACAGTTTTTTTAATTAAAATTTTTATCTAATGTTTACACAGCGTTTCTTATTGAAAAACATTAAAAATCTAGACTTTAGGTTTAGATTATTATCCAGATTAGGCAAATCACTTACTATTTTTCAAGAAAAATATCTGTGATATTTATTTAATGATTGAATTTTCCTTTATTAATATTCTTATAGTTTCTATAGAATCTGATTTATTGTTATATAAATTTTCATGTATTAGGCATGGGCCTTGCAATAAAATATACCAGAAGCATAATGTTAGACTTTATTCCTACTTGTACAGCATGTTGTCTGTATATATTTGTACATGTCTATTTCTTCCTTATAGAGGGGAGAGGGGTTTTGTGAGTGTATATTATTTTTTTACAGATAGGAGCAATTATATGCTGTCATAGGTATATAACTACCTCAAGGGGCTATGTTTGTAAATGATAAATTGCTTAGTCCATTTCTCTGTTTTTGAAATTGAGTATGCTTTTGTTTACTGTGAAATTTTGCTCACTTATTATCAAATGCCAATAAATGTTGTCTTTAGAACCAGACAGTTACTGTCTGGTTTTGTTAGATATCTGGACAGCAGTACACCTTTTTTAGGTATTGTATAGTGTACTTTAGCAGATTTTCCCCTAATGGCTTGAAAAGATGGATGCTTCTGATTTATTTCCATGTACTAATTACATTCTAGAAATGTAATGTCTGACTAATTAACGTATTTTGTTTTCCCACATAATCAGGGAATTCCTCAAAGAAATGGCATGATCACTTAAAGATAGTTCATCTTAAAAGAATGTAAAATTGTATAAAATGCCTTAATATTTCAATTGCTTTGGTTATTTAGGGAGTCAATTTATATGACTTTTGGTTTAAAAATTATGAAATACTTGTTTTATGTCAGATATTGTGCTTGTTTCTTAATGTACATTATCTTATGTAATTTTTTTGATATCTCTAAAAGATGATGATATTATTCCCTCTTTTATAAATGATATAATTCAGGCTGAGAGTGATTAGGTAATATGCCCAGGTTCCAACAGTTCATAAGGTGTAGAACTGGCATTCAAGCCCTGACTGTTGACACTAAATTCGGTATTCTTTATTAAATAGCATTTTATACTTCTGAACATAAAAAAATAGAAATATGTGTTATATTTGTTGGCAGCTGTAGCAGTGTTCCACTGTTATTTTCAATGCCAGATACTTTTGTTTGTATAAAGAAACAATCTGTATAAATGTGTAATGTTTATAAAATTATATATATATTTTAATCTATGCAAAAAGGTTTGACATATTTGTAAAGGCCGTGAGACATGTGCTTTCTAATGTTCTATATGTTGTACAGTTATATAAATACTAAGACTGCATACATCTATTTTTATTTTGTCTGCTGAGATGGTACATATAAAGTGCTTGGCAGCTGTAAAAGTAGATCATGGTAATAGTACCCAATAACTGGTAGTAGTTATTATCATATTGTCATTCTTTCAGTGAGCAAAATGTTAATTATAAGTTAGTTTTAGAATTCATCTATTATTCTAAATTGCATTCATTGGGTGAAAGCATAATCTTTTTTTTTCCCTTGGCAGCAACTTGAATTGGTGGAACCAAGTGGCTGGATTCATGTTCCCTTAACTGATAACCATAAGAAGCCAACTCGCACATTCATGATACAGATTGCGGTACTAGCCAACCACCAAAATGGAAGAGATACTCACATGAGGCAAATTAAAATATACACGCCAGTAGAAGAGAGCTCCATTGGTAAATTTCCTAGATGTACAACTATTGATTTCATGATGTATCGTTCAATAAGGTGACTTTAAGAACAAAAATCATTAAACATAACTTTGTTTTATCCTGTCACTAAATATTATATCAGGTATCTTTATTGGAAATAGCATCAATTATTTTACAATTTTGTATACATTTAAAAGTATTTTATTGTAACTTTGATAAATAAATAAATTTTGTCATATTATCTTTATTTTCTTTAACATATAATACAGCTCACCAATTTTACATTACTACAAATGAATTTGAAACCAATCATATTTTCCCTTATATCAAAAGAAAATCAATTGAACTGAAAATTTCAAGAATGAATTTGAAGCCAATCATTATATTTTTCCTTACATCAAAAGAAAGTCAGTCGATCTGAAAAGTTCAAGCTGTATACAATTTTATAACCAGTTAGTTATTTTATCTAGTGATTATGAGTTAGAGTAATGTTTTATTACATGTTTAGAAACAAAACTATATTTTATCAATATATATTTTATCAATATATATATCTTTAACAGGTCAAAATTATTACTTTTTTACCCAGAGGAAATTTACTTTTTTTAAAAATCAATTTAAAAAAATAAATAAATAAGCTTAGCATTAGGTATCTAATGGGAACCAATCTGATTTAAGGAATATAATTAATTGTTTCATATTTACCTTCATAAATACTTATAACCCTTGGATTGTCTATATCCTGATGACATATATGTTAAAGATTGCCAGTATGATCTGCTGTATATCTCAATTATAATAATACTTATAGAAGAGTTAGTTTTAAATTTGGATATGACACTTTAGTGTTCCTGGGGAAGGAAACAAGCTATCCTGTAAAATTTTTTAAAACTAACATTTTTTATATGTAAAAAAATATGTATATATTTTTTGTTGGAGTTTCACTCTGTTGCCTAGGCTAGAGTGCAGTGACGCGCTCATGGCCACCCCAGCATCAACATGCTGGTCTCGGGCAATCCTTCCGCCTCAGCCTTCCAAGTAGCTGGAACTACAGGTGCACGTTACCACACCTGGCTAATTTTTGATTTATTGTAGAAATTAGGTCTTGTCAAGTTGCCCAGGCAGTTCTCGTACCTGTGGGCTTAGGCAATCCCCTCACATTGGCCTCCCAAAGTGTTGGGATTACAGGCTTGATCCACCACGCCCTGCCTGTAAAAATATTTTGAAGCAACACATGGAAATATGTTTTTACGTGATTTAAAATGAGTAAATTTTATTTTGTATACTTGTTTTTTCTATATCTATTACTTTTTGGAGTTGGTTATTCAGACACATAACTTCCCCAGATTCACTGTTGTTCGGGAAAGATTGATCATTGGTTTTTGCATTGCTAGGTAGATTGAAGTCTAAAATAATAAAGTTTTTTAAAATGTGTGTTTATTCTGACAGCATTATAAAAAATGGTTTCACTTTTTCGCTCTTGAAAAACTCTGTTCTTCTTCCTGTGAGTTCTGAAGATAGTTTTATTACTACTTTCATTTTGTTGTCTTTGCAATACAAAGCATAGCAGGTGATCTATAGGGTCATCAAAACTTATTTGGAATCACCAAATGAAGTATCTTGTAGGTATGGGATGCTGGCGAGGGTAGAAGAGAGGATTGAAGGAAAAGCATATGGATAGGGAGTAAGTAAAGGAAATAGAATCATGGAACTAAGAACAGAAATATATACTGGGCAGAGGTGCTTTGCTTTAGTCTGATAAGGAGAACAATTATGTAAACAGCAGGGACTTAGTCTAAGAGATAGAAATCTAATTTTTTTTAAAGTACAGAATGTTTTATTAGTAATAACGTCACTGCTTACTGATGACTTGTTTAAAGTTTGCCAAAAAGAAAAAAGGGAGAGGACTAATGATCAGATACATGATCCAGTCTGTTATCTCCTACAATTCATAGTTTTCTAAGAGACTCCTAAAATCTGGCGAGATTAAGAAGAATGTTGAGGAAAATCAATCTACTTTTACTTCTTTTCCCTATTTTCACATGCCAGCTGATGGACAATCTTATTAGGCATGGGTAAACTTGGTAAATCAGGATTATGAAGACAATAGTTCCCTTATTAGAGGATATTAAAAATACAAATAGACCTCATATTATATGACAAAGCACAATTATCTAAAGCAGTTGCGTTTCTCTTTCTAAAGTGCAAATTGTATATCCAACAAAAATTGTATTTAGGACATATGGAAATCTCACAACTCAACAATACGAAGAAAAACAATCCAATTTTAAAATGAGCAAAACATTTGAACAGTCACTTCACCTTGGAAGTTACATAATCGGCAAGTAAGCATAGTAAAGGATGCTCAAGGTCGTTAGACATTAGTGAAATACAAACTCAAACCACAATGAGACACCACTACACAGGCACTAGAATGTCTGCCATTAAAATGATGATTCCAAGTGTTGACAACAATGTGGAGAAAATGGACCTCACACTGCTGGCAAGGATGTACAGGCATTCCTCACAGATACTGCAGGATGTGTTCTAGACCACCACAATAAAGTGGTTATCACAATAAAGCGAGTCATACAATTTTTTTATTTCCCAATGCAAATAAAATTATGTTTACACTATACTATAGTCTAAGTACAATAGCATGATGTATAAAAATTAATGTGCATGCCAGCTGGGCATGGTGGCTCACCACTTTGGGTGGCAGAGGAGGGAGGGTTCTTGAGTCCAGGAGTTTGAGACCAGCCTGGGCAATACAGCGAGACTTCATTGCTACAAATACAAATAAAAATAAAATAGCCGGGCATGGCAAGCATGCACCTGTAGTCCCAGCTACTTGGGAGGCTGAGGTGGAGGAATCACCTGAGCCCAGGAGGTCGAGATTGCACTGACCCATGAACTTGCTACTGCACTCCAGCCTAGGCAACAGTGAGATCCTGACTCAAAAATTATCAGGTACATACCTTAACTTAAAAATACCTTATTGCTAAAAAATGCTAACAGTCACATCAGCCTTTAGCAAGTCATAATTTTTTCGCTGGTGAAGGGTATCATCTCGATGTTGATGGTTGCCGACTGATCAGGGTGGTGGTTGCTGAAGGTTGAAGTAGCTGTGGCAATTTTTAAAAGTAAGTCAGTAAAAAAATTTGTCACATTGACTCATCCTTTCATGAAAGATTTTTCTGTAGCATGTGATGCTGTTTGATAGCATTTTACCCACAGTAGAAGTTTTTTCCAAATTTGAGTCTGTTCTCTTAAGCTCTGCCATTGCTCTATCAACTAGGTTGATATAATAATCTAGATCCTTTGTTGTCATTTCAACAATGTTCACAGCTTCTTCACCAGGAGTAGATTCCATCTCAAGAAGCCACTTTTGTTGTTCATCCATAAGAAGCAGCTCTTTCTCCATTTGAATTTTAGCATGAGACTGCAGTCCACCTCTAGTTCTCTTGCTTTTCCACCTCATCTGCAGTTACTTCCTCCACTGAAGTCTTGAACCTCTCCAAGTCATCCATGAGCGCTGGAATCCACTTCTTCCACACTGCTACTAATGTTGATATTTTGACCTTCTCACATGAATCACAAGTGTTCGTGAATGCATCTAGAATGGTAAATCCTTTCTAGAAAGTTTGTTTTGCCTGGATCCATCAGAGGAATCATGGCAGTTATACCTCTATGAAATGTAATTTTTAAATAAGAGTTGGAAGTTGAAATTATTCCTTGATCCACAGGCTACAGAAGGGATGTTTTGTTAGCAAGCATGAAAACATTAATTTTGTACATTTCTCTCAAAGCTCTTGGGTGACCAGGCGTATTGTCAATGAGTAGTAACACTTTGAAAAAAATTTTTTTTTCCTTAACGGTAGGCTTAAACTATTCTCAACAGTGGGCTTAAACCATTCAGTAAACAATGCTGTAAACAGATGCACTGTAATCCAGACTGTTGGTCCATTTATGGAGCACAGACAGATTAGATTGAGCATAATTCTTAAGGGTCCTAGGATTTTCAGAATGGTAAATGAGCACTGGCTTCAACTTAAAGTCACCATCTGCATTAGCCACTAACAAGAAAGTCAGGCTGTCCGTTGAAGCTTTGAAGCCAGGCATTTTGTCCTCTCTAGCTATGAAAATCTTAGATGGCATCTTCCTCCTAGAAAGGTTTTTTTTTTCTATCTACATAGAAGATCTTTTATTTAGTGTAACCACCTTCATCCATGATCTTAGTTAGATCGTCTGGAGAACTTGCAGCAGCTTCTTCATCAGCATTTGGTGCTTTACCTTGCACTTAGCAAATCTTTATCACTGGATCTCTGCCTCCTTTTTGGCTCGTAAGTGGTGCCTTTTTTTTTTTTTGAGTTGGAGTCTCACTCTGTCGCCCAGACTGGAGTGCAGTGG